TTTTTTTTTTTGGGGGGGGGGGGTCTCTGCATTGCTAAGCTACACCCTCCACCGAGCGGCAGCCAGGGCCGGCGCCTCCCAAAACGGGTTCTCGTCTTGTCGGAGAGAGCTCCGATCAGCGTGTCGTTGAAGGCATCAAAGAGGCCGACGCAGAGCCTGAGCATTGGGGTTTTGGGCTTATAGGGTTTAGGGTTTAGGGTTTAGGGTTTTGGGTTTATAGGCTTTAGGGTTTAGGGTTTTTACCAGGGGGGGTTGTAGTTACTTGTCCGGTATCCTAGGGGAACTAAAGGTTAACTATAGCCTTCGGAATTTCAAACAGGGTTATGGTATCCGAAAACTACCCTGCTAAGCGCAGGAATTTTAGATTGATTCCGGAGGATGTCAAGGTTTCCATACAGTAGGTTTCATAGCTCTTGCGGAGCGTGGGAGTTCTGATTGTTGGCGGGTTCTTGCGGTTTGAAGCTTACGTGTGTTTAGGGCTTCGAGGTTCACTTGCTTGGGGCTTCGCGTTTAAGGATTGGGGTTAGAGTCGATGAAGAGTTATGAGATTGAGGGGCTTCCGGGTTCGGAGTTTAAGAAAAATTCGGAGTTCAGGTGCTGAGACGTAGAGTTTAGGGACCTTGATATGAAGGTTTAGAGCAACCCTTGTAGTAACCGTTACTACGGTAACCATTCTAGACCGGCTGTAGCTCTCAATCAGCTCGGGTGCTGGATGATGGCGACGAAGACTGGCTCAATGCAGCATGACTCCAAGAAGAACTTGTTCCTTGGCTTGGGGCTTCGGGTGTAGCTCAGGGGAGAGCTTAAGGTTAATGTAGGGGCCTTAATAATTAGAATGGGGTTTTGGGCTATCCTATACTCTCATTATAAGAAGAAACCCCCCAAAATAGTATAGGTAACTATTAAGGCCCCTTTGTTAGCTAGGTTTCCAGGGTCTGGGGTTTTGGTTTGGTTTCCTCGGAGTCTTCTCATTGCGGTTGAAGGTTTTAGGACATAGGGGTCTGGGGTTTCATGCTCACGACATATAGGCGCTGTACGTACATCTGCTTCAAGCAAAAACCGGCAGAAGCAGGGAACACTAATGCCCACAGTGTCTCTACTGTGTAGGGGGCAGGGGAAAAGGGGCTGTGTGAGTTGGGTAACCTAAACCCTAAACCCCTAAACCCCTGAACCCCTGAACCCCTAAACCCTGAACCCCTAAACTCTAAACCCCTAAACCCTCAATCCTAAACCCGGAACCTTAAACCCCTGAACCCTCAACCCCTAAACCCTAAACTCTCAACCCTACACCCTGAACCCTAAA